GAGCCAGAACAGTACTCAACACAAAAGCCAGCAACAGCGACGAGAACAGGCCGAAGATAATATTTATGACCGTTCGCAAAATGTACGCAATGTCACCCAGCCTAGTAACACACCCAGACGTCCTGAACAGGATGTCGTCGATAATGCGGAGCCATACGCCCGAGTACCAAACCAACAGAATTTGGTAGAATCCCGTGCCACTGATGAGGCTACTAATGTCGAAACAAAATTTTCATCAGTGAAGAAATCTAGCCGTCGATTCTCAACTGAGACCACCTCTGAAACAATTGAAGAGTTCTCAGACCAGCCACCTTCAACGCAAGCGCCTGGTATTCGTGGCAAACCAAGCAGCCGTTCGCCCACACGAGACTTTTCAACTCAAGGGTTTCCATCAGTAAAGTCGAATAGACCCACTCAGGAATATCCCACGGAACGACCGCATGGCGCACCACAATCGCAAACACCGGATTTTAGCACACATGGGTTTCCTTCCGTAAGGCCAAATAAACCTACCCAGCAGTATGCAAGTGAAAGACCACGTCCTGCCGATGTGGAACAGCAGCCCGGTGCTCAGGTGCCACATGGCTTTCCTGCAGTGGGACCAAATTCCAACATTACTACCACTAAAGATGGAGATATAATAATCGTTAGTTCAGAATCTACACGCAGCTCAAAGTATAAGACCAATGCAGAGCGCATTATCGAAACAGAGGTTGTGGTTGATGGTGATACCAGTGGTCGTCCGCAAAGGCTTACACATCCAGAGCCAACTGCACATCCTGGCCGTGGGTTTCCCGCTGTAAAGGAAACTTCACCTGGCGCCTCTAGCCCACGCAGATCGCAGCCCGGTGAAGATTTCACTACTCACGGCTTTCCATCAGTTAGATCTCCAACAAATAGTTCCCCAGCTGCTAAACCGAACTCGGTGCAGCCTGTGCCCTCTGGCATTGTCAACCAAGATGGCAACGTTACTGTAGTTAGTTCTGAAACAAAGAAAACAATAAAGCATAATACGAACCGGGAACACATTATCGAAACAGAAATTCTAGGTGAAAGTGACCACCACTACTCGCCGGCAGGATTACGCCAACCGGACAAAATTACATTCCCTCCCACTCCCCAACCTTCAGATTTTAGCACACATGGTTTTCCTTCGGTAAGGGACTCTGCTCCCACTAATGATGCATATCGCCGCCAAGGTACACCAACTCGCGATCATCCGAGCAGTCCACGCAAGCCTCAACCGTCTGAAGATTTCTCCACACACGGTTTTCCATCTGTAAAGGACTCTACACCGGCAAGAGGGAGTACACCCTCTCGTGACTATCCGAGCAGTCCGCGTCAGCATCATCCCT